TTTTTTCTCTGCGATGAAAACACTGTATTGTATTATCAAATTTTTACAATTCTTTAACCCATTTCAACAATTTAAATAAAAACTCATAAACACATGTAATATATTTCCCTCGCTAAAACTTGATTATTTGTCCGTTAAAAGTATTGTAAAAAAAATGAAGAAAAAGAGAGTTTAAACAAATAACATAAAAACAATAGGTACAATCAAAATTACCTTCAGAACAGTCTCTTGTGGAGATAATGTATGTTTTCCAGAAACAATATCTATAACATAATCTGGAGGGAAAAAATGAAAAAAACATTAGGATAGTTTCAAAAGAACATATAAAGCTTAAATAAAAAAATTTTATTCTTAGTTTCCTAAATAACAACATTTATATATCAAATGTTTTGATCACATTACAAAGTATAATCATTAAACATGGCTTTTCACGTTCATAATTTAAATAATAACTACAAATCTATCGTTTGAAAGAACAATTTTCTTTAACAAATTATGTTTAAAATTTCTACTTTGTATAAACTTTACATAAAAATTATGAACACAAAAAAAATTCTAGTTTATTATGAAAACAAAGAAATTTACAAAACGTCCAGAAAATTTATAACTATGACCACGTTAAAATTCTGAGTATCAAAATACTCCACACATTATGTAATTGATAAGCATAAATGTGTGTTATTATTTTGATATAAAATAAGCAACTATTTTTTACACCATTATACTTAAACATTACATTAAAAATTAATTTCATTCAATTCAAAAATATGCAGTCAATATGTTTCAAGTGCTCAAAGTCAGGCACCCATTTTCAAGACTTGCCAGGTGTGAAAGAGAAGAAGCAAAAATTATTTGAAATATAATATAAAATGTAAAGTTGCCTATAAAATGCAAAAATCGAAGTGATAAACAAAGCGAGTTAAACTGCAGTAGCCAAAAGAGAAAAAAATAGAGAAAAAAAACCAGAGTGGTGGAGAGGGGCAAATCAGGGATTCTGATTTGTCCCTATGGACCCTGAAAGCATACCCGGATTTGCTTTTTCTCCTCCACCATGGTTTTTCTTATTCTGTTTTTAATTTTTTTTCTCTCTTGGCTACAGTGGTTCTTTTAGTTTTGTTTTTCATCTTTATTTTTCTACTTTTTAATGACAACTTTATATTTTATATATTTTAAATCACTTTTGCCTTTTCTCATTCACCTCTAATAAAAACTTGAAATTGGTGCCTGTTTTTAAGCACTTGAAACAGGTTGACTGTTACTAAGGAATGTATTCTTTACTAAATAATGCATTCTTTACCAAGGAATGTATTCTTTACTAAGGAATGTATTCTTTACTAAAAAAGGTATTCTTTACTAAGGACAGTATTCTTTACTAAAGAATGTATCCTTTACTAAGGAATGTATTATTTACTAGAATGTATTCTTTACCAAGGAATGTATTCTTTACTAAGGAATGTATTCTTTACTAAGGAATGTATTATTCAGTAAGAAATTATTTACAAAATGTCAAAAAGCCAATTTTCGTTCCTTACCTAAAGTTTTTCCATTGAGTTTTATAATTAAGAGAAACTTGTTCACCACACATATAAGGTAATAGAAGTTTTAAGCCTGGCCTTAAATGATATATTTTCAACTGCTTTATTAAATTAGAATAACATATTTGCCAAAATCAAATGCAAATTATGAATGAATACATTGTTCCCAGCAATGGAAAATATTCTTTACTGAGGAATGTATTCTTTACTAAGAAAAATATTTTTCGGTAAAAAATTCTTTATAAAATGTCAATAAGACAATTTTTGTTCCTTACCTAATGCTCTATCATTGGGTTTTATAATTAAGAGAATTCAATGGAAAATATTCTTTACAAAGGAATGTATTCTTTACAAAGGAATGTATTTTTTACTAAGGAATGTATTTTTTATTAAGGAATATATTCTTTACTAAGAAAAATATTCTTCAGTAAAAAATTCTTTATAAAATGTCAAAAATGTGTTCCTTACCTAATGTTTTTTCATTGGGTTTTATAATTAAGAGAAACTTGTTCACCATGTCATACCAGCCCTTCAATGAAGATTCTTCCATCATTTTAAATTGTTCTAATTTTCTATTGATAGGATGATCAGTGGTGGAAGGTACAGTTGACGCTTCATTTGTCACTGTGTATTTAGTGGAATGAAGGGATGATGAACAGTGAATAATACCAACAAAAAACACTAACAGGCACAATCTATCATACATTTTGACAACTTTTGATCACCCTAAAAAACAAAATATATATGTATGTTAAAATCATACCATTTAAACTAATTTAAATATGTGCATATATATATATATATATATTATTCTTTTAAATAGATATTAGTGATTATCTCATTTAAGCACAGCGATGTAGGAGATAGAGATTAATTCTATCTCATTTTTAGAGACACAAGCCAAGCCTTAAAAAAAAAACTCTGTTTAAGTCAGAGTTATAAGGGAGGTTTTGGCCCAAATCTAAAATTATTTAATATGCATAAAACAAAAAATTAACAGTTGTAATACTGTCTTTAGAGATTGTATAAAAGAATATGCCATTAAAAATTTATAGTATCATTTAACAAAACAAAAAAAAAAAAAAAAAAAAAAAANTCTGTTTAAGTCTGGTTATAAGGGAGGTTTTAGCCCAAATCTAAAATTATTTAAAATTATTAATTACATAAAACAAAAAATTAACAGTTGTAGTACTATCTTTAGAGATTGTATAAAAGAATAAAAATTTATTATATCATTTAACAAAAAAAAAAATAGAGAAATTAATTGCGAGTCTTAAAACTGCAATAGTCTGTCTCATGTTTACTGTAGGGAGACTAAACCTTATTGCTCTTTGGTTTTAAAACATTACGAATTATGTATTTTATTGCATTTCTTCCAATAATGCCTTTTGCATAGTTGTCATGATTTTTAAAAAAAATTTACTGTACACTTATTTTCAATAAGAAATATGTTAAAATGAATTTCCAACTAATTTACAACTTGCAATCAATTGATTTTCTTTTTTTCTTTAACCTGAAAATTATATTTTATAAAAAAAATAAAATTTCTCAGAAAGCACTATATACAGAAGAGCAATCATTATATTTATATCATTTTTATCCTTTCACAGATAATTCCCTTCTTTATTATATTTTCAAAAAAATATCAATGTCTTAAATCAATTTTGAAACAAAACAGTAGCTTATTATTAAAATATATAAAGCAAATAATCAAAATTAATTCATATTCAAAATCTTAATTCTCAACTGCAAATGAAAAATTACTATATAATGAATATACGTTAATTTGAAATGGTTATCTTTTTTTCAAATTATAAAGGCAAAGTAGTCAAAAAAATCTATGAAAAACTTAGTTATCAACAGTAAATAAACTTGTTTTAAAAAGAAAAGTTATAATTTGTTATGATGGAATAAACAAAACAAAACAAAAATATCTTACGAAATTACTGACAGATAAAATAGTTATTAATTATTAAAAAATCATTAATTTTCTTAATTAAGTAAAAAAGGTTGGGGAAATTTAAATGCAAATACCATCAAAAATATTTAAAATCTTTGTTATAAAATATTCCTAAGATAATATCTCATGTATTATAGATAAAAATATTAATAAAGTGTATTAACATTGTAATAAACATCGAAATACATAAAAATGTCAATAATTGTGTATATACTATAGTTGACATACTATACATTTTATGATTATCATCGATATCTATCAAAATAAGTTCTGCATTGATTAGCAAGATTCAAATCATAAGTTAATGGAACTAAAATATAGATATATACTATCCTTAAAAAAACTTATTTTAAAAATTCTATTTATTGTTAGTATATAAATTGTTGACATATAATATATATTTAGTGATTATTATCGAACTCCATCAATATATGTCACGTATTAACTAACAAGATGCAAAAATTAAGTTAATTAAACTTATATTAAAAATTATTCTAGAGAAACTTTTATTTTAAAAATTCATACACAATAATACAATTTTCAACAAAGGAAAAAATTAATAGGCTTAATTAAAATATTCTACTCGAATGTTTCTAAAGTAATTAAATTTATAGGTGTTTCCTGCGTATGGTTTCAATTATATCAAAATAATTATGAAAAATTTTCAAGAAGCTCACTTGATACAATATCACTTAAAGATTCCATTCAATAACACAAGCGCGAAACACCCAAACAAGCGAACTTGGCACATTCCTAAAGAACAACAGAGGTGTGCGTAGTTTCGAGCTCAAATGAAAAGTGATTTCATAAACACAAAAAGGATTTCGCGTGTTGGGGTGTCATTATTGAATTCCAAGTACCTATCAAGATTGAACGGTACTTAGTTTTGTTGAGAAAGTAAGAAATTATCTCTAAAAACCCCAGCTGATGCCAGGGACGCGTAACCATGACAGTCACGTGACTGACGTCATAACAAGACGGAGACGAAACAGAAAGGTGAGTGATTCCCTAGATGCGCCAATTCATATCCTTGATCGCCAAATGGTGGGATGCTTTAGAGCCAAACTAAAATGTTTGCTTTTCCTTCGGGCTATCAAGTGATAAGAAAAGGTCAGTTCGGATTTGATGAAAGATTAATAATGGTGAATAGAAAAAAATACTATTGAAAATTAGTTATCGAATAAATAATACTTTTATTTGGAAGTAAAAAATATGAATAACTTTAAAATTTATCTAAATATTTTAAAATAATTCTTGATTTTTAATTATTATAAATAAAACTTCACTTTTTAAGCGTGTTTGTATCATTCATAAAATTCTCTTAAATAATTCAGCAACTTGGAATTCTTCTTTTTAAATTTTCAACGTTTAGTTTAAAAGATCAAATTTTTACTTTTTTACTAAATGAATTTTTAAAAAAATCAGCAAAAATTTTCTAAAATTACAAAAAACAAAAGAAAAAAATGATGGGATGAAAAATTAACTTCAAAAAATAAACAAATAATAAAGTTATGACGTTATGAACGTGAAGTTATAAAAATAAACGGTGTTAAATACTATGTCGGATTAAAATTTAATAGAAATGTGGAACGGAGAAACAAATTAAATAAAAGTACTGACTAGAGCACTTCTGAATCATGGGACCTGTGTTTATTAGCTGAAAAAAAATATATAGATCCCAAAATAAATTTTATAAATTATTAGCAAGGAAACTGCAGATTAAAACTGATATATATATAT